TAACAAACTTCCTAGCACTGTCTGTACACTCCTGCCTTCAAGCATCTTAACACACACAAGCATTTTCACCTGCAGCATTCCTGCGAGCTTCTTCCAGACTTTATAGCAATCCTGCACTTCAGTGACACCCATCTTATTTTCCACTCAGCTTATCTTCCATAATTTGATTACACAACTGCACAGGAGTCTGACAAACTGCTAACACAATTTCAAATGAGAGTGCATCTCTATTAATTTATGGATATTCAAAACCTTTCACGATCATTTCAAAAGATGAAACATATTTCAAAATTTGTCAACCTTTCTCCTATTGTTTTGCTCAGCGGTTCTTCTTAGATAAGGTCGGTAAACATCATGAAAAGCACTTTAAAACATGCTATGAACAACATAATCAAAAACAGCTTAAATCCCCACTGAGGGAAAATATAAAATAATAAGTAACACATACACTGTGCTGTGTAGCTGGTAACACTCCTGACAACAATGCATCTAATCCTCTCAGCAGCCAATTTAGTGGTGAAGTAGAATAAAAATGATATGCTTAACCCACATCTGACATTCAACAAACATACAGAATGACTACTGTATGAAGTAGCTCCACTGACCTTGCTGGTTGCTACAGTAGCAAATTACAGCCTACACTACTTTCACTTTCAAGGCTCTTCAACGGCAGGTCTGGCCTTGAAAATGCTGCATGCAATGCTCACTCGGACTTCAAAATCTCCATGTGTGAATACACTGCCACCCTCAAAAACTAACCAGTTTAATAAACTAAGATTTTTCAGTAGGCTGAAAAATATGGCATTCTGAGGACGACACAAGGAATCACGCTCTAATCAGTGTGCTCCACACCTGTTGAGTATTCTTAAACACACGACTGCCAAGTCAACTCAGTGAAAATGTTTATGACTGGGGTATATATTAAAAGTTTTGATAATCCTTCATCAGTGGTGCTTAAATATCACTGAACTCCAGAACCATCTAGGAATTGTGCTGAAAATGCAGGACCCACAGTGTCACTTCCCCAAAACTTCATTTGTAAACTAATGCCCAGGCAACTGATTCTAAAGTTGGTGCTCCCTGGGCCACATTACTGTGTGGAGAAGTACTGTTAGAGGTACTTCAGAAAACAGGGTATCACTGGGAATTCCCTGGCAGGCCAGTGGTTAGAACGCTATGCTTTCACTGCAGGGGACCCAGGATCAATCCGTGGTCAGGCAACTAAGATCCCACATGCCACCTATTGTGGCCAGAAAAAAAAAAAAGGAAAAAGAAAACACATGGTATCACTGAGTTCCTAACTTTCTCAATCCCAAGTTAGAATGGGACTGAAAAGAAAAATCTACCAGCATCTGTGTGTGTGAGGACATCCACACACATCACCCTTGAGCACATTAAATCACAGGGGCTGCTTTTAACAGCAAAGAAATTTTAATGCTCTTTTATTTCTGAAAACAATATTGACTAAGGCCAGGAAAATCAGACCCAGGAAAAGTCAAATTTTCAAGTTAAAAAAAAAAATCATTACCACTGCAATGTCATAGCATCTGTTATACTGAAGTAAACCCACCCCAAGCCTTCTCATCTAATTACAGATTCTATTTACTTCTTACAGGGCTTTTTCTGTGTCTGATGAAAACTGAGCCATAAAATAATTGAGACAGGGATTTAGAGATTTGGTACAGCAAACCTCCTAATAAAAATGGCACAAATGGGACTCTTCTTGCTGTTGTTACATATTAAATCTTATTTGATCGATTTTACTGTATTCCAAATTACAAACATAAGGTAGAAGGCTGTAATTACAGTTTTATTGATTTGTCATTAACTTTTAATCAACCTGCTACTACAGGGAATGGTTATTACAGCAGTGCTCCCTTGTTTCTAAGTTTCATATACTTATCATCACTACAACAAAGTAACTGGACACATTTAATGCCAACAAATATATAGTATTGTTTGTAAGGCATCTGTTTGCAACTGTAACTATATCAGCACAAATACATTACAGAACAAGGACTGCACTAAACTGTATCTGATTTTCTCTAGGTCTCTTTATACCTTTCTGACCACTGACAGCTTTACATGTTTTTTATATTCTATTCCTTTTTATTTTACCTATCTGTTTCTCCTGCAGCGACCACAATTGGCTGAATCTGAAACTGAAAGTTGATGCTCTATGAAACAGATGCAAATGACTAAAACAGAAAGGCAGCAGGTACATTTCCTGGGAACACTGACACTGAATGCCTTTACGAAGTTTATCAAGAAAGTTTAAAGATTACAGGACGACAAGAAAAACATTTCACAAACTCCATAAATGGAATAAACTTTTTAGCATACTAAACTGTAACTGAATTTAAAATCAAAGTCAACATCAAGCCATGTTTCACCAGTGAAAGCCTCAATCTATATACCTGCTGCTGATCAGTTCTCATCTTAAGGTTCTCCTGGTACCACAGAAACTATAAAAAGGCATCTGACACAAGGCTTTACTACCTGAAGGACGATGCAAACACTATGAGACACAATACTGATAAAACTATCCTAAAATTATTTATTTCCAGTCTTACAGATACTTATTTTCTAATTCCGAAGCCTACTTAATTCATTTATTTTGCCTAACAGTACACACACAGAATATTACATTTAAAAGGTTCCAGTTTTTTTTAAAAAAAAAAAAAACACCATTTACAGATACTAACATATTAGAATACAATATTTTCTACAGATCAAATATTTTATCTTTAATATGACTGACCTAACAGCTCTCCTTTGCCTGATTTGATTTTAACGCTTTATATAATTTTGGTAAGTCTAAGAGACAGAAATTTTATAAACTGAAAGAAAGTCTATCCTCCAACATGGCAAATCAAGTTTCAAGCACAATGGTCCTATATGTGAAATGAGAAAAAAAGCAGCCAAGTTCTTTTTAATGCTTGCTCTCAGAACATACTACAAAATATAAGCCAAGTGTTGAGCTTACAAGAATATATTTAAACTAAAGCAAAGTAACAGGCAATTCTAAAACAGCAGCAAGAGCAGTCAGAAGGACAGAATTTTTACAAGCTGAGAGACAATGAAACTCTCTCACACTTTTTCTTGTTTAGCATATATACGTGAAAATAACTGCATGCAATGGGTTCTAATGTCAGAACATGATCACAAAAACATAAGCCAAGGATAATAAAAGATTTTTTAAATTAAATATAAATTGCTTTCAAATGGCAGACTAAACTAATTTTCAGGCAGAATTCAAGTCCTGGAGTCTTTACTTCGGTTAAGAATGGGGGGAATGGATCGGGATGGGGAACACATGTAAATCCATGGCTGATTCATGTCAATGTATGACAAAACCCACTACAATAAAGTAATTAGCCTCCAACTAATAAAAATAAATAAATAAATAAATAAGAAAAAAAAGAATAGGGGGAATGAAAATCCCCAGAAACTGTACACAAATTGTCCGTAAGTGCAGCTTACAGGAGAGACGACCACAGGCTTCGTTAGCTTCCTAAAGGCGTCTCTAACTCATAAAGGAACTACTACTTTATGCTCTTTGATACTCCAAAAAATGAACATATTGTTAGTCCTATCACACTTATAAGTTCAGTAAATTATGAACACAATTTTAAATCCAGAGTTGGCTTGGATTCTCCAAAATTATTTGTAAACCAATGTCAAAAGGAAGTTTTGAGAATTTAGTGTCTTTTGAGCTAACTTCTTTCAACATTCTCTTCAAGGAGAGATGTTTATTAAAGGTTTCAAGTATGCTTAAAAAAAAATAATCTTTAACAATTAGGTGCAGAACTGCATACAAATCCATTAGACCATTCCTGTCACTGTGTTCAAATCTTCTATGGTCTTAACAAGTTATGCCTCCCTGGTCCTAAGACTTTTATAAAGTAGATGTGACTATCACCAATTAAGATAATAATTGTACTGATTTTTCATTATAATTCTGGCAATTTTTTGCTTTATATTTTGAGACTATGCTATTTAGTCCAAGTTCAGGTTTATTACATTTCCCAAGAGAATTGTTCCTTCTATCAGTATACAACAGTTTCTTTTTTATTAGCTTTAAGTCTTTTTTTGGGGAGGGGGGCTAATGTTAACATTACTATCTACTCTCAAGTAGCATTTCTGAATCAGTGAGGGCTGACCAGAGAAGTAGAATCACTAAGAGAGGTAAGAATAAGGAGTTATCACAGGGATACGAACAGTAATTGTGAGAGCTAATTAGGCACTTCATACAGAACTGTTGCCTCTGCATGGAGAGTTGGGACAGAAATCAGAAAGCAATCAGGAAGGAAAGATGGGTGTGAAATGGAGACAAGCAAGGACAAACTGAATTTCACATTCTCCATCACCAATCTCGATGCTGTGGGTGTCCTGTAGCACCAAGCAGCATCCTTCACCAGAGCCCACACATCTGACTCAAAACTTAAAGAGAAGCTGAAGAAGAAGATCCAGCTGGAGGTGGAGCAGCTAGAGGCCTGGCTTGCTTCCTGAAGCCAACAGATCATTGATGAGGTGTACGAACTGCAACTGTGTCTGACCCCACACCAACCTTCTGAGCAGGAACACAAATGCTGGGTCACTTTCGCCTTCAAAATGTTGTGCAGATTTCTCTTGTAGCCAGGCTAACCTGGAACCCTCCTGGAAAGGGAGTTCTAGGAAACAGTTCTTGCTCAACTATGCTGACAACAAAAAGCCACCACAATTTACATGGTTATTTTCCTCTATTTCTTTAATTTTATTCTTTCTGTATAATTATGTTTGAGGTATGTCTCTTGTAAATAACATATATCTGGATTCTTCTTTCATACTATCTAAGCTATCTTTCAACTATCATGGTTTAATACATTTACATTTATTGGGATTTAAGACTTTCATAATTTAAAAGAGAATTATCTTTCGAAAATGAACTAATATATATACTGAAGATAATTCATGCTTTGCATTTCTGAAATATGTTATACACATAACTTATTACTTACCACTTCTCCAGCCGAGGCAGCCAACATATGTGTCACAGGCATCAAATGTGAAGAAGAGTCAGTGTGCAAAATCCATTTCACATATTCATAGGTGACAAAAAAGGCAGCAGCTGAAATTTAAAACAAACCAATCTTTCACAAAGCTTAAATATCTACACAAACTGTGAATATGTTTCTCAAAAAAAAAATTACAACTCAATTATTAACTTATGAGACAATAAAGATAATATTAAATATGAATAATATAGTTTGTTTATATTTATAAATATTTCAAATATAAGTAAAAATAATAAAGATACAATAATAATATGTACTCTTCCCTGCCATCCCATCACTCTTATAGATTTCACTGAGCCCATGTTACACGCTTGACCTTGGACTTCCAAAAATGCAGAAGACATGATCCCTGCTGCCATGAGGAACCCTAACAGCTAACCTGGCATTTACCAATTTGTACTGACAAGTCACTTAACACTTTTTAATAAGAGTTTTAGAAAAGGATATGAATATCCATGATCCAAAATATCTTTACATATGATCATAAAATAATCAACTACACTGGTTTACAGACAGGTTAAAACTGCAAACATATATCTCAATAAAACACCTATTCCATTATGCTTTACTGCTGGATACTCAAAATAACCATGGCTACTTTTTACTACCTCAATTCACCTTTACTTCAAGAAAACAATCAACTATTTAATTAAAACTGAAAATAAAAATCTCTAAAAAGCTACCCCATCATATGAACTAGCAGCACAGGAAGGCTTTTAGACTTGCCAGGTACTGTTAATCAAAGATGTGTATCAGTCACATAAAAGATTTGGCATGAAAGATAAATACATGGTAAAATCATCTTTCAAAGGTCATTTGAACATGTCACAGCAAAGTCTGAAATACTCAGGAAAAGAGCTTGAGAGTGAAAACCAGTTCTCCACAGTCAGTCAGCTTGCAACAAACTCTCCTCAGCAGCCCACAAACAGGAGGCCAGAAGAGGCGGCACACTGTCCCTGGATAATTAAGGACCGAGCAGGCAGCTGTATTTAGTTAACGCAGGACCTAATTCCCAACTGCAATTCTTAATTAGGCTGGTCCTATTTTGGCCCACTCACGAAATGGGCTAGAACAGGGGTGCCTAATCTCCAGGATCTAACACCTGATGATCTGAGGTGAAGATAGATATAATAATATGAGAAATAAAGTGCACAATAAATGGAATATGCTTGAATCATCCCAAAACCATACCCCCCACACACCCCTGTCTGTGGTAAAATGGGTCTTCCATGAAACCGGTCCCTGGTGCCAAAAAGGTTGGGGACCACTGGGCTAGAATATTACCAATCAAATTCAGTTCTAAGTTCCTCCTACTGGACATCGCACCACATACCCCCATCCCCCCGCTCCGAGTGAAAAAAAGCAAACAAACTGTGGTTTCTCTACATTCCTTCTACATTCCCTTCTAAACATGTTCTACTTATGAATCTTGACTGCAGTTCTTTTCCTCTCTTCTTGCAGCTTACACTTGCAGCCCAGCACCCCCTGCACAATATGCCCTCAAAAAAACCTACAACTGCTATATGTGAAAATGGTGTATTGTACTCTGAAGAGAACTTGAACCAATAGCAGAAAATGTTTAAAGTTCCTCATAAAGAGTTTCAGTTCACTAAAAATTTGCAGAAAAACAGCCATTTCTGGAATGCTGGCACTCTGACTTTTTATCCAGCCTCTCCTATTCATGATGTTCTGTAGAGGGCAAAGTAAAGCAGTCCGAGAACATCCACTTTCTCAAACATACAAAAATTCAAAACCACGTTCTCTATGTAAACTCCTGCTCACAAGAATCTAAACCAGTCCCGTGAGCTTAATGGAGGCCCATGTACCCTGCAGACCATCATTAATACTTCATCTACCAACAATCCCTACATAATATGTAAGAGAAAAATTTACAACAATGCAGGAGACAAGGTAAGGAGTACCACCCAAAAGATAAGGACTTAGTAATATACTGATATTTCTTTGCAATTCCCTAGTTCAGAGGTTCCCAAACTTGTCTGCATATTAAAATTACCATGGGATATATATTTCTTTAAAAATCCAAAGCCCAGGCCACACCTCAGACCAGCTAAATTCCATACCTCTGAGAGTGGGTCACAGGCAGCAGTACTTTTAAAAAAACAAAAAAACTCAAATGATCAGGTGACTGAAACACAGACAAATACAGGAACCAAGGCCTATCTCCCACTAACAGAGCTATATTTGGCATGGAGTGCGTGCCAAATGGTGACTTGCTATAATCGATTACTGAAAATTTAGGCATAAAAAGAATTCAAAGTGAGTGTGAAAGTCACTCAGTCATGTCCGACTCTTTGCAATCCCATGGACTATACAGTCCATGAAATTTGTCAGGCCAGAATACTGGAGTGGGTAGCCTTTCCCTTCTCCAGGGAAAAGAATTCAAAGATAAGCTCAAAACAGTTGGTTGTTCTAAGGATGGCTCGGGGAAAGGGAAGAAGGGATAAACTAAAGGACCAAAAATATCTGCACTACAGATCTTTATGTGAATACTGTACTTTTTACAGATGGACATTTCAATGTCAAGTTAACAAGAAAGAATTTCTAATGAAATACACTGCGAAAAAGAACTCAAACCTTAGAATTTAAGAATCTTCTGTCATGTTGATGTTTGGTAGAAATCAACACAATACTGTAAAGCAATTATCCTTCAATTAAAAATAAATCAAAAATAAAAAAAATAATTTTTATTTTTATTTTTTATGGAGCAGTGAGTGGTTTTGTGAGTGTGTGTTTGACGGTAGTGGTTTTCTGTTTGCACAGTGTGAGTGCCAATCAAAGCATCAGTAAACAATTATCAAAGTAAGTATCTGAAAAAGAGTACACCAACAGGTGGATTAAATAAAACAGGTTCACCTGCTCCATGAGACTCCCCAAGGCAGAGGTCACTGAGGTTAGCTTCACATCCGAATCACCTGGGAAGCTACTAAAACTCCTGATACCCAGGCAAAGCCAAGACCAGTTAAACTTCTCACAGAGACACAGGCATCAGTGTTTTGTAAAAACTCCCCAAGAGATTTCAACATTCAGGCAAGGTTGAGAACAACTACTCTAAGGCATCACAATCAACGTTAGAGGAACACTTTAAGGATTCTAACTAGGAGTTCTACCAATGAAAACCACTTTCAAAAGATTGCTCGTGGTTTTGTTTTTTTGTCGTTGCTGTTTAGGATGGCATAGCTAGCACTAGTTGAGTCAAAAATAATGGATTAATGACTAGAAAACAAATTCCAAGTATCAACTACATTAAACAGAAGGAATTCTATCTAGGGTTGGACCACATATTATTCTGAAAGTAAATCCTATTAGCTTGACTTTATATAAAGCAAGGGTAATGTCAACATAACTGTTACCATTAGGAAAAGATCCAACAGCAGCAGAAGGAACTCCAGCGTACACTCCACAAAAACCGCCGGCCTTAGAAAAGCCCTGGGGACTCTGCAGCCTGGTCTTAATGGTATCCAGAGGGAATAATATCAAGTCGACAGAGACACCTGCTATTCCGCCAGCCTGAAAACAAGTTACAAAAAAATAATGTGCCATTTGAGGGATGGGGATAAGATGGAAGTTTTTAAAGCATATTTCTTTCAAACATGGTTTTAAACATCACCAGACTACTTTGGTATAGTCAAAAGACCTCCTACCTAAATCTACAGATTTGTCCTGGGAAAATAACCATTACTGAGCTATACTTTCAAATTGTAAATGTTATATTTTATATTCAGTTTTAAACAAATGTTTAATGATTTTTAACAATTTTTATATTAATTTTAAATTCATTTTTAATGATTTCATAGGGTTCAAAGAAGTAAAATAAACCTCAGAAAAGAGTTCAAAGTCTCCTTCCTTATCCTGAAAAACTGAGGTAACCACTTTTATTGGTTTCTTATTGTATCCGTCCTAAGTTACTTTAGGTATATATACAAGCAAATCCGAATATGAGGAACTTCCCTGGACATCCAGTGGTTAGAACTGTGTGCTTAATGGTCGGGGAACTAAGATACCACATGCTGTGCAGTCAAAAAAATGCATAAAAAACAAGTAAATGGTAAATTTTTAAGTAAAAGATGGTTTGCAGCACTGTGTTTTTTTCATTTAACAGTTTATCTCAGTGATCTTTCCAAAGCATACCACATGTTGTATTTTTGGCCTTTTTAACTGAGTAGTGAGTCTGCATTTAAAAGAAAACTGTTTTGAAATTTCCATTCTAAATGGGTAATGCTGCCTGTGAATCTAGATCCACATTTTAAGAATCACGTGGAGAAGGAAATGGCAACCCACTCCAGTATTCTTGCCTGGAAAAGTCCATGGACAGAGGAGCCTGGCGGGCTGCAGTCCACGGGGTTACATGACTGAGCATGTGTGCACGAGGGTGGAGGGAGATGGGTTGGTAGCAATAAAGTGGTAGAACTAAAAAAAAAAAAAGAATCACATATCTGAGGGTTCTTGGTATTTTCTCTACTTTTTGTATATTGGAAAATTCCTTGATAAATTTTAAGAGAATAAATGAAAAAAGAGCTAAACTCCTAGAGGGCATTAAACCTGCCCCAAACGCATCATCTCCCAAGAGACCCCATGTTGCTTCAGGGAAGGTGCACTTTAAAAACTGATTGAAAACCAAGTCTGCTCCTTGTGATTACAGTAAAGCATAGGTAGAGTAAAACATTTAAAAAACTGGTTACAGCTGAGTCAAAGCAAAATGAAACCCAGAAAGAGAGAAGCTCAGAGACAGCAGAAGAGAAAGGTCAATACAGAAGGCCTACAGGTACCATTTAAAGACATGAATCAACACCATTTTATAGCAAGTAAATGAAAGAATTATAAAGCGGCAATATGGTTCCTATATAGTTATTTTTAAACTGAATTGCTAACTTTCTTATCTTTTGAACTTTGACCTATGTGAATATATTATCCATTCAAAAAGTAAAAGCAGACATTAAAAACCATATATTCCAAGACACAGAAAGAGGAATCAATACTATTCAAACATATAGGCAGAGTTCAAAATCATGTTGTTTCCATCCTTTGGGATTGCAAAGTGCTCAGGTGGTATAAGGGTTAGTACCTAGCAAACACTTTCTGCTCTGCTTGCCATGCACGATAAAACCACTGCAAGAGTTCACTGGAAAAATGAAATTATTTGGATGAGAAATGAAATAATCTGTTTTTCAATGAGTTAGCATAGGTCAATTATTAAAAATTAGTGTACACTACCTTGAAAGGCATGACAGAACCATGCAGGCCACTCTGCAAATGACCTAAAAAGTTGTCACGAAAAGAACACGGAGATGTGCCAGTGGAGTATCAAGTGTGAGTAGGAAAAAAAAAAAAGACCATGTGGGATATCTTTCTGGATATAAAGAAATCATCTAAGCCACAGGGCAAAGGTCACAATTAGGAAAGTTAAAAAGAAAAATAAAAGTTAATTTTTTCAACATTCTTCTCACTTATTCTTTAAGGACTTCATAAATTCAATATGTAAGAAAATATTTTGCATGCCTCTTCATTTTCTCAAAACACAAGGAAAACTAAAATTTTTGTGAGAATGTCTGATATGACTGATTTCTTTAAAAATATGCTGCACTTCATTCTGATTTTCTCTTTAATCTTAGAAAGGGGTTCACAAAGATGCTTGTTATCTACTGCTAAATTTTAATCAGTAAGTTAATTACTCTTTTAATCTATTTGGCTACTTTGCATGCATTGATTCTCCAGCCCTTCTTTCATCAGAATTCTTGTATACTGAGTAAATGATCAGATTCAATCTACTGATCTAACAAATCATGAATCAAGAGCTACTAACTTCTTCTGTGGATTTCAAACTTCTATAACTCAAGTATCATGTAAATTCATGAGACTGGAAAAAATACAGCTAACAGGAATAAGAATACATATATATTTAGACACACAGCAACATGTTTAACATTTTTTTAAAAACCTTAAACCTTAAGGAATGCTTATAATTTTACATCAAGTCAGCATCAACTGAATCTTAAGGAACTCTACCAATTTATTTTTTTTCTTCAGTCTGAGAAATTATTTATGATCACGTATCAAAAGGTTACCAAAGGATTCAAGATTTATGGTAGCTTACACAGAAAACCCTAAGTACTAGACAAAATCCAAAAACAACAGAACACAGATAACCAGCAAGACTTACCTCACCATAACAATTTATTGAGATCATGATACCATATACAATAGATAACATATATACCACGACCTTAATTTAAAAGTGTTACAGACAGCAAGAGTCTAATCAGTCCTTTGAAATTCCTCTCATAGTTGAGGAAAGTTAAGATCACATGCTATGAAACCTTTATTTCTCCAAAGAAAGCTGGCAAAAACAGGAAAAACAAAAATCACAGCTATTCAACTACAGGACAAAAACTAAACCACCTGCCTAATTTAACTAAGCAAAATGATCACAGGCCCCCAGCCTAGACCACAACTAAGAACAAGAAAAACATTAACATGGCTTCTCCAGAGAACATCCCTCCCTGACATTCTCGGTTTTCTCCACAGTGAGGTGGCCACCAGTGACTTGAACCTCCTCAATGCAAAGCTGTGGCTTCCTATGAGACCTGCCTTCTTCCACATCCTTCACCCACTCTCCCTGCAGCACTTCTTGACCCTCTACACTAATGGCAGAGTTGTCTTTGTAAAACAGATTTCCATGCTCTTCAAAGCTTCCAAAAGCCCTTAGGATGAAAAACAGAATCACAGTACAGCCTGCAAGCCTCTAGAAGTTCACCACTGCGCCCCCCACCCCCGCCGCCTTCTCCACCCCCAACTCCATCATTAACGCTTTGCCAGGTACCTTCTTGCCACCATGACCTTTTTTCCTCTGAATCATCTGATTTTGCTCATTTCTAGGACTGTGTACATGATGCTCTCTAATCCCCCAAGTCTGCGTTTATACCCTCTTGTTCTACACTGATTGGAATTTTAATTCTATAGTTGAGCATCTGACCATTTCGTCAAAGTTTGTGTGTGTCCCACCAGACTGTAAGATCCATACCTGTTTTGTTCACCAATATGTTCCCAGCACCAGTACACAGCAGGCAATAGTAGGCACTTAATAACTATTAGAAGAATACATGAATTAATGACTGTAACAAAAGGTTACTAACCATGTTTGGGGGGGAGGGTGGTCACTCATTTAGTTTTCTTTTTTGAGGCCAAGCAGCATGCAGGATCTTAGTTCTCCAAGATGATTTTCAGTAATACCTCATTTCTCTCACAGCACCTTACGGTAACGCTTTGGTTTGTTTGCCATCAAATCTCCAAGGGCGATCACAGTACCAGTAGGCAGAATATAAGGCAGAGAAACTGCACATGAAATGAATTCAGCCAGAGCAAAACTTTCCTTGAAACTTCTACCAATCAATCCTAATTTTACTCTCTGTAACTACACTTTAAAAAGTACACATATGTACCATTATTTAATAAATCCTAAATAAATTTTAAAACCATGTTTCCTTCCTTAACTGACACCTGCTTTCAGCAACTGCTACTGTTGTTGACTTAAGAGACAGCCTTAAAGAGCAGTAAGGGGCACGAAATCCCATGTTACAATGCCTGGAATCTGTGCTCAGACACTAACACACATGAAATGTATCTCACTTGTGTGATTTCGGACAAATTATCTAACATATCACTCCTCAGTTCCCTCACTGAGAGAACTAGGAGAAGACTTCAATTGTTTGTCAGAATTAAATCAGATGCTGTACCTAAAAAGCTTACCCTACTTCCGCACAGAGCAATGCTCTCACAAGTACTACCGCTATCTCACGAGCTGTACAGGAAAACGCCTTCAAAAGTGGTAAAGCCTCTCTCTGCATCTCTAAAACCTAGCTTCCACAGATCTCAACAAACCTGGATTTAAAACCAACCTTCCACACGTCTGAGTAAGATCCCCCTTCCACATCTCTCCGAACCACGCTGAAAGTAACCCTCACGTCATTTAGGCTAACAATCATTTCCCTCTTCAGCCTCCACCACAAGAACAGGTCTATCTTGTTCACCATGTTATCTCCCACACCTGCAGAAAACATTTGATAATTGAATGAAGAAAGCCCTCTGGGTCTCCATTTCTCAGGAAAGCTTTTGTAAAGGTATTTGTCTGTTTTCTGCCTCTACCCACTCTACCAGAATGAAAAAACAGGCAATCTGTCTGGTTCACCACTGTATCTAGTAAACCCTACTGGACCTCTTTTCAAAATATTTATTGAAGGACTTTGGCAGGGCGGTTTTTTAAGACACGTTGATTCTTTTTCTTTCCTATTATACACCACTGACTGCATAGCGCGGCTATTTGGGCTCATCAGTACATACCTAAAGCCTAGAAAAATACTCAGACACAGAACAGCCAATTGTGTATTGAATGAAGCGATACATCATTTTCCGAGAATAAAAAAGATACAGCAAAACAAAACTACAGTCTTGGCCAACAGGTCTGGAAGCGGCTTGAGCGTCCTTGTGAATATTTCATTAACTGCCGAGTTCTCCAAAGTGTGGTTACGGTATATAATTGTATATAATTAAAGCTTTTCTTTTTCCTTTAAATAAACCGCGGTGCGGAGGCCGAGTGAAGAATCCCACCGGTAACCCACTCCTGTCCCCTCTGGCATACAGGTGGCAGACTTAGGGACTTGACACAAGCCCCGGCGCGGCCCAGGACCCCCGCGCTTCCTCCCGGACCTGGTATCCGGTGACCCAGCGACGATTCACCTTGCAAAACCGGAAGACAGAGAAGACAGCACCGGCTCCAGTGCAGGACTCCGACACTCCTAACGCCCTGTACTCACCACCAGCGAGGCTGTGAACCCAGGCCGGTCCATGGCCCCATAGACTTGCTCAGGGTTATAATTCAAGGCTGACCAGAGGCGAGTCACGGGCACCTGACACTGGGCGCCGCCATTTTGGAAGCCGCCGGCACTTCCGCGGCCACGTGAGGCTGAACCACAACAATTACACGTGCAAACGAGGAAGCTGCGCCGGGAGGAGTGCCGGGATGGAGGGGCGGAGTCTGGAAAGGGTGATATAGTCAAGTCTCGCGACTCTTCTCTGCCTCCAAGTCCGACAGTTTCTCAGTAGGCTAGGTGGAGGAACTCTCGCGAGCAAATGAGCCTAGACTGAGAACCTGGCGCAGCAAGGCCCCGCCGCAGTGAGCGCTGGGTGAAGCCGAAGCGTTAACTCAAAAGAGGCGTGGCTATAGTGGAAGGCGTGGCCATGGAGCTGCCGGACTAGTTTCGGGGGAGACCTGTGGCTTCCAAAGTTATTTCTTTTTGCTTTATCGTTGGCTTCATCTGTAGAAATTTTGTCTGACGTTTCCATAAAACAGACTCATCATTAGAAAATTATTAACTATAGAAAACCACTTCAAAAGTTTCCTTCTTGAGATTTCCCTGGTGATCCAGTGGTTAAAAATCAGCTTGCCCATGTAGGAGACACTGGTTCTATCCCTGGTCAGGGAACTAAGATCCCACGTGCCAGCAGGGCAACTAAGCCTGTGAGCCACAACTATTGATCCCACAGGCCACAACTACAGAAAGCCCAGGTGCAGCACCCAAGTGCCACGTGCCATTAAAATTATTTTTTTTAATTCCTTCCTTGAGTTAAAAATTAGCATCCTCTACTTCTCCTTGTTGTTGTTCCGTTTCTAAGTTGGGTCGGACTCTTTTCGACCTTAGGGAATGTAGCCTGCCAGGCTCGTCGTCCATGGGGATTTCTAGGGAAAAATAACAGAGTTGGTTGCCATTTCTTCCTCCAGGGGATTCTCTGGGTTCAGGGATCGAACCGGGGTCTCCTGTGTTAGCAGGCAGATTCTTTACCACTGAGCCACCAGGGAAGCCCCTACTTCTCCTTACGGACAGTTTTTGCACCTAATATTATTCACTTGTTAGTTATTCATTTGCTCATCTTGTTAGTTGTGGTACCAGTTGCACACCTCAAAGACCACTTTAAGTACTTACTATAAGCTTCTTGGAGTGGACAGTGACTTTACATTTTTTCAATAAATACCTTCGAAGTTTGCTTCTATTAAGGGCCAACAACATCTCAGATAAGGTGCTCTTAATACAGCTCCTTTGTAAGGTGAGCACTGTTGCCATCCTCATTTTACAGAGAATCCCGGTTCTGCAACTTCCCGGTACAGAAGCTAGCCCAAAGCTGCAGAGATCACAGCGCACCCAGGCTTGAAATTTTACTCCTCATCTTTCCTCAAACCCTGTGCTAAAGCCTTAGCAGGCTCTATGTCTGCCTCTCTTCCCTGTGTCTTTCATACCACTGCTACAGTCTTTATTTTCTTCCAGTGGAAATGACCTAGACATGATTAGCACAATACCTTTAGCATTTCAAATTCTGAACATTCAGGAATCTGAGAGTGACTTACCTGAGCAGTTTTGTTAACGAAAATTGAAAAGAGGCCAGACAATAAATTCAGTTAAGCCTTTACTTGGACTCATGCTGAAGCACAAAGGAGTGAAAATGAGTAACAGGTGCCTTTGCTTGCTCCCTCACAGACAGTGGGGAGGCGTGAGGGGTGGAGAGCTGGTCCTTGGAGTGAGGCTGAGGGCAGATCCCGGGGTCGAGCTGGAGGGATGCTTTGGGCACCTCCTTGGAGTTGCCGTCTTCAAGGACCATGTGCAATACCCTGCTTTTGTTCCCAGCTCCTCAGATGTGATAGTTGGGTGCTTGGTCTTTTGTATCTTGTTCATAACTTGTCCCGGCAGTGCATGCATCAGTTATTTTTAGTCCCTTATAGTTTCTTTACTGCTTGAGGAGATGTTTGTAAAGGTGCAAGCACTGCTGCAAAGAGTTCCAAGTCCCAGGTCCCAGCCAGTAATGGAGCAGGACGCTCGCTGCGAGGCCTTCCCAGGATAGAGCCCCCCACCCATTTCATCCACCTGCCTTCTGTCTGTACAAAAACTTTTAAAAGAATACCTTTAATCAGAGAAGTGACAAGATGCAGAAAGAAAGGAAAACAGTCAAGCAAGACAAGATAGTAATACTTTGGCCATTAAACAGTCAAGGAAGGACCTTTAGTTCTTCCTCAAAGACTATAGATAATATTATAAGTCATGTTCTTGGAGCTGTCTTGCAGATACTGAAATCCCCACCAGGTGGAAGAAGTTAACTGTGTGCTGCCCACAAGCATGTAACCCCAGACCAATTAAAACCACAGGTTGATGATACTGACTCCTAATTACCTCACTACCAATCAATCAGAAGAATGTCCACGAGCTGATCACATGCTATTCCTTAAACATGATAAGACTCCTCACTACCCACTCCAGCGTGGGACTCACAGTCTTCAGGGCATTATTCTGCTATTGCCCCTTTGCTTGGCAAAGCAGTAACACTATTTCACCCAAAGCTCTGTCTCTGAGATTTAATTCAGCACCAGTGGACAGAGGCTGAATTTCAGTAACAAGCCCGTCTCAGTTCAGACTCAGGGTCTCTCTGATAAGACTGCAGTCAAGGCATTGGCTAGGGTGTATCTGAAGAGTTGGTGAGGACTGGAGGATCCACCTCCAAAACGGCATCTTTCCATGACTACCAAATTAGTGCCAGCATTTGGCAGGTGGCCTCAGTTCCTCACCTCATAGACCTCTCTCCAGGATTGCTTGAGTGTCCTCAGCTGGTTTTCCCCATGGTGAGTGACCTAAGAGACAGCAAGACAGAAATGTTACATTCTATTGTACAGAGGTAAAAGCTCCATCGGGTATTTCATGATGCCACTGGAAACCCTTTGGGAAATACAGATATTAGAAACATGACCTGGGGCCCCTGTTCCATGAAATGCTTACAGAAAGATCCATTACCAGTTGTGCATGCCTTTTAAATGGAATATTATAATGCATTGTCATTGTCGCCACATTGCAAGGAGAGTATATACTCAAATCTTCTATTTCAAAAAAAAATGGGAAATGCAATAACTACCGGTTTGCAGAAACATGTGAAATTATACTAATAATATTGTTTTCTTAAATCTACCTCTGTAAGCCAAGTTTACGATTAAACAAGTTCTGAAATATTCGTAGTATTTATAAAAATAAGCAAGACATCAAAAACAGTATATCAAAAAACAAATTAGGGGACTTCCCTGGTTGCTCAGTGCTTAAGACTCCATGCTCCCAATGCAGGGGGCCCAGGTTCAATTCCTGGTCAAGAAACTAGATTCCACTTTCCACAACTAAGAGCCGATGCAGCCAAGTAAAAAAAACACTTAGGCCCACCTTAGGGGAAATAAAGGACATAATCTTTAACCAGAACTAGACCCAAGTTCCAATTTCCGGTTACTGATCTTTATTGAAAGATAAAGTAATAGTTAGAATCATTTTCAATACAAATATTCACATATCTCAACCTGTATGCAAAGAAAATACAAAATGTAAAAACTGTTTTAAACGACAGTCTTCTTTTTGAGTGAAGTAAGTCAGATAGAGAAGGAGAAATCTCATATGACATCCCTTACATGTGGAATCTAAAAAGAAAGGATAAAAATGAAATTATAAAACAGAAAGAGACTCACAGACTTAGAGAACAAACTTATAGTTTCCCGGAGGAAGGATGTGGGGAAAGAATAGTTATGGTGTTTGGGATGGACATGTACACACTGCTAAATTTAAAATGGATAACCAACAGGGACCTACACCTGTCTAGCACATAGAGCTCTGCTCAACATTATGTGGCAGCCTGGATGGGAGGGGAGTTTGGGGGAGAATAGATCCATGTATATATATGGCTGAGTCCCTTCCATTTTCACCTGAAACTATCACAACATTGTTGATTGGCTATACCCCAATACAAAATAAAAAGTTTTAAAAAAAAAAAGGACAGTCTTCTTTTAAGTGATAACAACAAGATTATGCTTTCCATGTAGGTTTGTGTTTTCATTTCAAATGAGTGAGGAAAAAAAAAACAAGACTGTCCAAAAATTATGTCTCATTCCTGTCTCATACTTTACCTCTAAAAACAGTTCCAAATGGGTTAAAATTCTCACTTGACATAATTTGACTATTAAACTATTAGAAGGCAAAGGTAAATATTTTAATATTCTTAAGGTAAATAAACAGGTTTATGCATGAGTTTTTTTAACTAGGAAAAATATTTGCAACACATATGACAAGAATGAATTCTTAATACTAAATAGCTCCTATAAATTAAAAAGAAGGGACTTCCCTGGTGGTCCAGTGGCTAAGACCCCAGGCTTCCAATGCAGGGGGCCTGGGTTGGATCTCTGGTCAGGGAACTAGATCCCATATGCCACAGTTAAGACCCAGGGCAGCCAAATAAATAAATATTAAAAAAGAAAGAAAGAAAAACACCAATATCAATAGAAAGAAATGGGGAAAGTCACAAAGGAAGAAAAATAAGTAGCTAGTGAACATGTGAAAATATTTTAAATTCCTTAATAACATTGAAATGAAAATTAATACAACATTTTTTAAACTTATCAAGGCAAAAACTTTTCTAGAGCGAGTGTTTGTTTAGCCGCTGAGTTATGTCTGACTCTTTGCAACCCCATAGGCTGTAGCCCACCAGGCTCCTCCGTCCATGGGATTCTCCAGGCTAGAATACTGGAGTGGGTTGCCATTTCCTTCACCAGGGATATTCACAACACAAGGATCAAACTCTCGGCTCCTGCCACATATCCTGCATTACAGGAAGATTCTCTTACCACTGAACCACCAGGGACACCCAAGATTTTTCTAGGGGGAGCATCAAAGCAACTTTTCTGGTGAGTGATATGGCAAGACACCAAAGCCCTAAAAAAATGTTTTTTATTCCTCAATTTTTCTATTAATTCCATTGTACTCTAAGGAACTATTTTTTT